TGCCATATTTATTACCATGCATATTAGTACAAGATAATATAAATGGTTTAAGTAAGAAACAAATACATATTTAAACATTTAAAGAAAGTAATATTTTGATAAATTCTCTTTCAAAATAAGATAAACTATAAAAAAATAATAATAATAAAAATATGAGTGTACCTATACATGCAAATAATAAAAAGATACAAATTTGAAATTACAAATAAGTATATAACCTAACCTAATAAAAATATATAGATATATAAAATCATATACATATAATGTGATCATTACTAAAAAGTACAAACATATAGTCATCAGCAAAATTACATGAACTAGAAGTATCTTGCACAAGAAAAGGTGGGAATGTCAATACCACAATAACCAAAGCCCAGTCACTTGATGTTTAACAATATAATCAAAACATTTGAGAACCGATACACTTTTCCATGAGATTATTATACTTCAGGGGATAAAGTATAAAGGAATTTATTTCAAAATTCTTATCCAGCAGAAAGAACTGGTAATATGTTTTGTAGATAGTAAGAAAGTTCACTTCCAAAATTATCAAACATCTTGTTTTCTTTTAAATCAACTGTTCCATCATCCAACTAAGAGTCTCTGAGTATTTCTAATAGGCAGTATATGAAGTACAAAGATACAAGTTAAAATACAAATATATAGGCCTATATAGGAAGGAATGTTACAAAACTAAAATCTGAGAAGCACTAAGCATCAATGACTTTGTATATACATGATGTGCTTAAAAAAAAAATACAATGAAGCCTCATAAAATCACAATGATTGAGGAAGACGAGCTTTAGAATCATGACAATCTCTTCTTTTTCCAGTCTCACATACAAAAAACTTTTGTACAATAATATGACACACAAGTTTTAAAACCCATTCTATATTAGTAATGGAAGTGGATTCCCTTCCAACACACAAATTAAACTGTAGGATGTTCACTTTGCACGTTTAGATGGGTCATGTCCCAAGATAATGAAATACCTTGCAATACCCAAAATCCCAGTCAGACATGAATATTTCGTGAAGTATCAGCACGCAAGAAAGTCAACCAATAAGATAACACACATCATACTTTGAGCATCTTATCGAAAGCGCGACACGAATGAGATTCCGACTCGTCACAATTCCTAAAGCTTCCTCCCCCTACAAGTCCTTCCTCTCCTTTCCTCCTCCGCACACCACTACACCTACGACTGTTTCCTGTTCAAGACTATCATAAAAGCTTTGGACACGATTGCACCAGGAGTTTCACAGCCTCCTCGTTCAAGCTTTAAGTCTATTGACTACTACTGTGCAGATCATCAGATTCACAAATCTGTAGTAAGACCAGATAATAGAGTACAAAAATTATGTACATCAGGATTTGTTTTGGGAGGGACATTAACATTCTAATTCCTTTTCATAATCCATCTGCAACTTCTGATATGACTGCCCTTTGGATCCAAAACTAAACATTTATTGTGACAGCTCTTTTGTGACACCAAAGATACGGCAGTAGTAAACCAGCTGATGTAATACCTTCAGCACCAACCAATCCAATGTTAAAATCATAACACCAGACATAAGCAATTATTACATTTCTGACAAACACACACACGCACACATGCCCGCACGCAAACACACACACACGCAAACACACACACACGCAAACACATACACACGCAAACACACACACACGCAAACACACACACACGCAAACACACACACACGCAAACACACACACACGCAAACACACACACACGCAAACACACACACACGCAAACACACACACACACGCAAACACACACACACGCAAACACACACACACGCAAACACACACACACGCAAACACACACACACGCAAACACACACACACACGCAAACACACACACACGCAAACACACACACACGCAAACACACACACGCAAACACACACACACGCAAACACACACACACGCAAACACACACACACGCAAACACACACACACGCAAACACACACACACGCAAACACACACACACGCAAACACACACACTCAAACACACGCACATACACACAAAAAAAAGTTTTACTTTTACCCATCAATATTGTTAATTCAAAATAACCTAGTTCCAACAATTACATTAAAAAATGCCACCACTTCCCTATGTATCAAAGCAAAGTATTAGAACAAAATTAATCACTTAATCAGATCTTGCATTCCCCAAAATGTACAGCCAAAAAAACAAAAATTCATTCATCAGTAAGTGTTTACACTACTGTTTACACACGTTGAAACACAATTAGTTGAGACCTTGCAATAGTTAAACATTGCTTCCCTAACCAATGTAAAGTGCTATATGTGCAGATAAATGCCCAAAACTAAAGCAGATAGTGTGATGTATTACAGATACTAATTACATTACCTCTTGTTGGGAAATGAGATAACCTCAGCTCTGCTATGTTACTCTATAGTAATTCAAACACTAAGGACGTCTAAAGTGTTCTCCAGCTTCTGTGCTTAGAATGATACATTATATGTTCCGAGTAGTAACAAAAAGTTCAGAATTATACATTATATGTTCTGTGGAGTGACAAAAATTATGTCTGCAATGTTGAAGAAAAAATCTATTGCAAGTCATCCAAGGAATCCTCAGAGGAGTCTTAACTCCTTTCAAATGTTTTCTCTATAAAAGAAAGTAAAAACATGAGCAAGGGGGAAGTTGGTGGGGCATCTACTTTCAGTTTCACTACTGAACACTCTGGTGGAAAGAAAAGTGACCTGGAAGACGTGGACTGACCTGTAATATCACACAAAGGAAGTCTCGACTGAAGATTTTTTTTGGAACGCCTTTCTGATTTTAAGGCAGAAGCTCTCTTTGAAAAATATGTGCTAATGTTAACATATCCAGATTCTTACTAGAGAAAGTAATGTAATATGAATTAACAACAAAATATTGATGTAGGTGCACCCTAATTTTTCTTTTTTTCCATACATATTATTTATAAGTTCTTTGACAGCAGCTAACCTTTTTACATCTACACCTAGTAGTCAGGGAATATCCCCATGATGTTATCAAAATCACTATGTGTATACCAGTTACTGGCAGCAAGGTGTAAATAGCATTCTCCCTTCTTTCCCTATCAGCAAAGAAATCTGTTAAAAAAACAAAAAAATAAATTCATTTCCAGAACACAAAAAAATTGTAATGCAAGACACACATCTCCACTATCATATGAGTAAACCGTGAGCAACCATTCAATCCCATTCCTCTTAAATATGATATTCTCTGACAGGCATAAGCTCAAGGCACTGCACTAAAATACATCCTCCACAAAACAAAAGCATTATTTCAACAATCTGTGATTTCCAAATGATGTATTCCTGAACACAGAGATCTCCAGCACACATCTTTTAGCTCAGATCTACTTGTGGGAGTATTATACCTTATAACAGGTACATGTAAATCCATACTCAGCAAATGTTGCTCATGTCAATGGAGGCAATGACGCAAAAGCAGAAATTAATTTCCACATGATATTTTATGAAAAGCGAGACAGACAGCTACTAGTGTTGAAAGTAAGATTAGCTTTTCATAAATACACAATTTGCAGTATTGCAAATGATGCTGACTATTAGCTTTACATATTTTTGGTACATATTATGCCCTCTGGAATATATGATGAGTATTTTCTCATTTCTTTTTCACGACAAGGACTTTTACGACCAATGAGTAATAAACCTTATTAGAATTTGAACTGATGTTAAATTCTCAACACCCTGTACAACATGGGTTTCTAAGGCCCCCATTATTAATATATAATTAGATCATAAGTCATTCCTTGAATCTTCACATGCAATTAACCCCTTTCCCGACGGATCATGCTGTGAGGAGTCAAAACAAACCGCTCAATCTGTGGCGTGTGGCTGTACGCCGCGGCGGCACCAAAGCACTACGAGCCGGTGATTCGGCTTGCTGTACCGAACTCCTGTGCTCAAAGTCAGCGATTTGCCATTGATCTCCAGAGCGTGTTTTTTTTTTAGTTTTCTTCACCCATCACCAAGGGGATAATATTCAGGCAACACAAAATGAACTGTGTATACATAATGTATGGGTCACAAAGAATGATGTGACAATATAATTATCATATAGCTTTTTTGCCTATCACAGTCAAGTAAACCTTACACTTCCCTTTTGTGTATAGCCAAACAAAGCTATTTTTTCAAGAATATACAATCTACGTGATAACAATCTATGTAACTGTTCACAATTAGATATGTGTGACTTGTATTTATAGATACGTTCACTAATGAAAGCTAAGAGATGAACCAGAGAAAGCTATGGATGTTAGTGAATACCTACACATCTTCCCCTGTTAAGTCATTCACCTCATTTATACCTCTTTTTCAACATTTGCCACAAGGAAATATGACTCAGGAATATCCCAGTCATATTACCATAAAAAAAAAACAATATTCCAATAACACTTACAAATTTGTCCCTGTATTGAGACTGAAAAATCTCTCTATTCTCTACATTCAATTCCTTTCAACAGAAATCCTATAAAGGACATGATGAGCAATGAGGGGAGTTGACATTATGGAAGGAAGACAGAAAGAAGACAAATGAGACAGAGTGAGAGAAAAGAAAATATGCATAAAGTGTAAGGGAAAACTACACATGATCTAATCTCCAACTCACTGAGCAGTTAAAGCTTCTTTCATAGTATCAAGGCACAGGCATCTTTCCTCAATCTAAGGTCAACCTTAACCTTCCATCAAATGACCTATCTTGCCTCAGAGTTGAGGCTGATCAATTCCGTCTACCATCTTTCTTGGAATCAAAGCATAATATCATCCCCCATCCACACCAAATTTGAAACCTATGGAACCTTTCTACAATTCTTTCTATCCTTAGCACAGCCAACCACAGGCTCCTTTTGGATTCCCAATAGCAAACAAATGTGTGAGGTTTTCCCCTACCCACAAACCATACCTGCAAGGCATGTCAAACACCCATCAAGATTGCA